AAAAATATTAGAAATATCAGCTATATTAGATATTGTATATCAAATATATAAGTTATATAATATTTGTTTAACATTTCTAATATTACACAAGTAGTTTATTTAGATCATGTAAAAAGTAGGATTTAACAAATCAGTTTTTATTAGTTTTAAGAAGCAAACAGACCTATTATTATATTACCTTTTAATTTTAGTAATTCATTTTTTATTTCTTTTATTTTCTTATCATTTCTTTATTTTCTTTTATTTTTATTCTCTTAACTTGAGAATAAATCATATTATTTTGCAATATAATTACTTGATAAATTGTGAATTATTCTCTGTAAAATACTTGTATAAATATTTCATTAGAAATAAGTTATTAAGTGAACTTGTAAAGCATTAAGATTACTGTGCAATTCAAAAGAATCAATATTTAGACATCCTATCTAATATTTGTGGTTCATAAGAATTACATGTTAACATTATCATAGTAACTGCTGAAACTAGAGAAATTTTAATAAAATTATATTAAACTCTTATTAAAATTTTGTTGAAACTAATTATAGAATTTTGAAGAAATTTAAATAAACATACTTAATGATATTATTATATTAATTTTTGATTCATAACATATTTTTAAAAGTGTTATGATAGTAATATAATATTAATTTTTAAATTTAAATTTAAAGGATAGTACATTTTATAAATATTAAATATAGAAATTAGTTGACATTTTTATTAAATGATAAGTGATTATTTTATGATATAAAGATATATATTAAAAACAAAAATTTTCAAAAAATTATTTATTCAAAATTCTTAAAATCTTTATAAAGAATATATAAATGCTTTTACATTAAATAATATGATAAAAAGTAAGAATAAAATATCAAAAAAAAAAGAATTGCAATAATAAATACAAATAAGTTAAAATAAAAAACAAAGATATAATTTAGAATATTATCTTTAAATTATTGAAAATTCCTATACAATCTTTTTCTTTTACCTTTTTTTTTTTTACAAGTATCATATCCAAAATCTTCTTCATACTTTCAATATTATTTTTAATATCTTCAACACTTTTTTTAAAACTCTCAGATAAATTTAACTTCACAATAAATACTATATAGTATAAAACAATTATATTCAATTTTACAAAAAACTAAATCCAGAAATATAAAAATATAATAATTTATTTTTAAGCTTTAATATTATTATAATATTGGTCTTAGTTTACTTTAAAAATTAATTAAGAAGGATAAACTTAAAAAATTAAAGAATAATATAGCAGCAAAATAATGATTATGAAAAAAAGCAAAGAAAATTTTGCTAAGATATATGATGCATTAAATTGATTATTATTTTTAATAAATGATCCTATTCTCTTAAAAAAAAATGAATAATAGTGTAAAATTTGGAGCTGTAGATCACAAGAGACTTAAAGAAATTATCAAAGTATAAATAATTAAGCACCTTTATGAAAAAATGAAGGAAGATTATAATATTCATATGATAAAATTAATATTATAAAATTATATGTGATTATGATATTTAGAAATAACAAAAGCCAAATAATATCATCATTTTGTTTAAATCCACTTAGCAGTTATTAGAAGAACTGAGATGATTATTTATATTAATAAATATTATTATTTATTAATATCAGTTAAAGGTATAAAATCATTGCAACAGCTTTCTTTAAGAAGTTTATTGATTTCACAGGATAATAAAATCAAGATACTGTTGTATTTTATAATAGTTTTCTTTTAATATAATTTAATTTTAATAGTTTTAAGTTTATTAGGTTCCCTTTAAAATAAAAGCTATTAAACAAATATTTAAATAATTAATGAACTTATTAGTTTTTGATTATGATTTTTCAAAATCTTTAAAACATAAGCTAATTTCATCTTTTTATCTAATTATCAATCCTACTAATATAAATCATTTATTTTACTCTGACAAAATGCAAATTTTTATTTACTCTAAATTTTTTTAGATACAACATATAAAACTCATATAAAAATAAAAAAAAAATCTTTTTATATGTTTACATATTTAGAAAATTCTATAAAACCATTTTGGTATTTATTTATAAATAGTTATCAAATAAAAACCTTCAGTTTCTAGATAATAATTAGAAGTATTATTTTTGCTATTATTATATTTATCAGTTATCTTATCATTAGACAGATTATTTAAGCTATTTTTTACTTAAGATAAAAGTGAATTAAAAGATTATTAAAAAATGAAATATAATTTATTTGTTAATAATAGAAGGAATATAAGAAGTAATAAAGTAATAAATATTATGTAATATAATAAATAAAATACATATTTTAAATAATAATAATAATATTTTCTTGATTATTATAAGACATCTTTTTGTAAGTATAAAAGAAATAAAATAACAAATTATATATAAATATGAGAAGAATAAAAGATTTGTTTATAATAATCAATTGATTATTATTTAATTATGACATAAATTTTATAATCATTATAAATTATATAATCTGTATTAGAATATCAAGTCAATATCGAAGAAGGGTTTGATATCTGTAATATTTATGATTGTCTTTTGCCTATTAATTAAAGTATCACTAATATATAAAATATAGGTAAACACTCCCTTTATATATTTGATTTTATTACTTATATCTATGGGCATGAAGTGAATAATTTGCTTATTAGACAAATATTGTTAAAGTATAGTAGTTATCCTATTATCATATTCTGCTACAATATCATTGCGTGTTGGGATACTGGCTATAGATTCAGTATTATTGTAGTGAGTAAAAGAACCAGTTTCACAATTTTGATTAAAAGTAGTTAGTGTATACATGTCGTCAGTAGGAAAAACTTTATATATTTCAATATACTTTTAAAATGTTTAATTAATTTTTTTCAAAGAAGGCAAAAAGGAATGATAATGAACTTAGTCAGCAAATCGTAAAAGAAAAACATCTAGATATATCTTGAAAAATGAAGCCTTATGTGTAATAAAAATGGCAGAAGGTTTTACCTCAGAGTATGTACTCGGGTATGATATAAAGATAACTTAGGGTAGTCTTCTACGTAATTTATTATATAAATAATAAAAGAATACTACCCTTAACACTATTATATACTCAAAATAAAGTAGATAAGTATGCAAAAATATTACAGTGCAGAACCTCTATAATATGAACTTAGAAAATCTTAAATAAAATTTAATCCTATAATCAGATTTTAATCAAATAAAAAAATTAAATTATACTTGTAAAAAGAAATCAATTTATTTTAAAAAAAAATTTCTCAATTTTGTAAATTATGTAAGCATTACGTGATATTAATAGCAGCCAATCAAAAATTAGAATTTTTATATTATTAAAATTAATAAAAATCATTTAATATAAAAATATCAATTTTATTTATTTATTTTACTATAAATGCTATCGGATACACGATGATGAGATTTATATTTTTTAACAGCAAATTCTGCCATTTTTCAAGTAATATCTTTTCTATAAATATCTATATATCGCTATGATTTTCATGCATATTTACGAATTGTAATTAAAGAAATTGAATCTAAAGCCTTAAGAACAATTTGTTGTAATCCTACCCATGTATAATTGCAATGTTCTCATGTATATCATTTTGCTGCATCCCAATACATTTCTATATAATTTAATTCACAATGATACTTAGGATAAAAAATGCATTTATGATCCTGCTTTTCAATTTCTTCTTGAAGTTGAGATTTTTGTGCTAAAAAATCTGGTTGTAATGATAAAATTTGACGTGCACAGCAATCCACTCTATTTACATCTATAATCTTAGTTTTTTCTTTATATAATCGATAATCAGCCAATAAATTATCTTTCCATAAATCTCTTTCAATTAATACTTAATGATTATGTGAAAAAACTATAGATTAAAACGTCTGGTTTAGTCCATAATAAGTTGTATGTATACATGGTTATTTTCCTCCCAGGTTCATATTTATTTTAAAAGCATTTAATCCATTTTTTGCCATTATACCATAATTAGTACTATTATCAAATACAAAAACAGCTATTGCATTAGGATATAATGTTTCAAAAATTGGAATAGCTGAATTTATTACTTGATCTAAAAGATGTTCTGCAATCCACCAACCTTTATCATTTTTACCAGGTCTTAAATACTTTCTTGCTTCTTTAGGAATGTTTGAATAATTTGCAGCAAATTCATCAGTAAGTTTAAGTCGTCCAATAGTTTCTAATAAAAATTCACTAACCATTATAGATTTTCCTTAACCTTTTTTTCTAAGTGGTGGTTCACTTAATGGAACCCAAATAGTTGGACAATCATCATTGGCATAAAAAAGACACTTGTCATGCATTACTAAAATATGCAATTGCTCTTCATTTTTAAGTTCTAGAAGAATCATTTGCATTTCATCACTAATAAATGTTGGCATTAATTTTTCAAATTCTGCCATAGTTTTTAAAAATTGTTCATGGTATTGTAATACATCTTTACATTCATATCTGTCAAAATATATGCCTTTCTTTCGAGATTGTGAAGTCAAACCCAATTTACGAAGCCATATTCTTGCAGTTTTTATTGATATAGATTTTATAATACTCATTTGAAGAAAAAGTTTTGACACTATAAATTTTTTACACTGTTGTGATATTATCTTTCTGCCATTAGAACGAATATATGTTAAACTATAATTGATAATATCTTCATCATTAATCAGTGATTTTATTTTTTGATAATGACCTTGCAATAAAATTGGTAATATGGAAGGTTTGCTAGGAAAATGGAGCTCTGAGAATTTTTTATTAAAATTTTAATTTTTATTGCATTTTAATTTTTGATAATGTTAGATTAAAATGCAATAAATCTTAAAATTTTAATAAAAAATGCTCAGAGCCCTATTTTCCTAGCAAACCTCCCATATATCATATTTAATCCAATGATCACCTAATTTACAAATTATTCTAGACCAATAGATTCCTTTATTGTAAATTTCTTTTGACGCCTTTTCACTTGCTTTCATTTGCGTTAACCCATCTTTTTTCCAATATGTAAAATATGCATGTATAGACCAATACCTTAGATAATCATATATATTTTGTTTTTTATTATAACTAGAAAGAATTTGTTCTAATTTTTGTAATTTTTGATTAAAATTATGATTATCATCATCTTGAATTTTATCGCTTATACTTTCTTCTTTTAATATTATTTCTTTATTGTTTATTTCATAATTTAACGGTTCTATAAAATCTAAACTATATATTTAACATTCCAATTATTTAAAAAACCTATTTTCAAATCATTAGCTAACATATTATCATTATCTTTTGCACCAGCCGATGAATCATTATTTTCTGTACCAGCTGATGCATTATTATTATCTTTTACATCAGCTGATGAATCATTACTTTCTATACCAGCTAATGCATTGTTATTATCTTTTACACCAGCTAAAGTTGCTGGACGAAATCAAGAGTTTAGACAGACGTCTAAATAATAAAAGTAAAACTTGGTTAAATTATATTAAAACCTTATTAAAAAA